TTCAGTGGCATCCGTAGTATTAATTCTTAGTATTCTGCGGTGAGATCTGTAGTTGGCCGGGGTTTACTTGCTCTAGATAGGGCTTGACTGAGGCAATTCTGCATCTCACTGTGGGTCTATGGGTCAGTGGGTCAATTAAGGGTCAGCTGACCTGGGCTGGTCTTCATTCCTCCTATTTCTCATAATCCTCGGACAGAAGACTAGTCAGGGATGTCACCTTGTGGCTATTTTAGACATAGAAGGGCAAGCAGGAACACACAGCCTCTGAGGCTTGGCCCAGAGTGGGCAGACGGCCACTTCCATGTGCCACTGGCCAAAGTGAGTCATGTGGCCAAGCAGAGCTGAGAAGCAGGGAGAGATATGCCTCCCATGATGGAGCCATGGCTAGAGTAGGCATGCAGGGAACTGTGAAGAATCAAGACCAAAAATTCAGTCTACACCCTCCCCAAAGGCAAACCCCCATGCAATCAGGACTATAATAATAAGAGTTGGGAGGGGATGGATAATAGATTGATGGTTGGTCCAGTGGAGATCTTTTTCTGGCCAAGGGTTATTTCATGTTCTTAACAATGAATTGGCAAAGTTCCTCCAGCCTGGAGTGTGGGCTCATTTTGGGCTGAAAGCTTCAGGGGACATCAGGAAGAAGAAAGAATAGCCCCAGTTTTACCTACGGGAACTCAATTCTTTTATTTTTTTGTTTTATTTTGTTTTTTGAGACAGAGTCTCACCCTGTCACCCTGTAGAGTATCATCCTGTAGAGTGCTGTAGTGTCTTGGTAGCTCACAGTGACCTCAAACTCTTATGCTTAAGCAATCCTCTTGCCTCAGCCTCCCAAGTAGCTGGGACTACAGGCATCCACCACAACGCCCAGCTATTTTTAGAGACAGGGTCTCACTCTTGCTCTGGCTGGTCTTGAATTCCTGAGCTTAGGCAATCCACCCACCTTGGCCTCCCAGAGTGTTAGGATTACAGTACTGAGCTCCTAGGCCATTGTGCCCAGGCCTAGGCACAGTTCTTTGAGGGACAAGACTTGTGTTCAAAGATGAGGTGGATGCAGGCTGATGGCCATTTGTATAATGTGGACTGTGGAATTGAGAGCAAGGAGAGACCAGCAAAGTCTAGGAAAGCACTTGCTGGGAGGAGCGGAATGACACTAACCTCAAGTGAGCACTTGCTGCATGCCAGATGCTAAGCCAAATTCTCTCCCTGCCATACTTCCTCTCATGATTGTCCCAGGGGGTATCAGGATTAGCTTCCATTTAACAGATGAGGAAACAAAGGCACCAAAGACTCAAGTAACTTGCCCATGGTCACACAGCTAGTAAATATTGGCACCCGCACTTGATGACCAGAGCCTGAGTGTTAATTGCTAGTCCATGTCCTGACACCTTCAGGGAAGGGAACAGCAACAGTGCAGGGTGTGTGCAGAGAGGACAGCTGCCAGAGCTGCAGAGGGGACTTCAGCCATGTTACGAACTATAAATGGGAGCAAAGCTAGGATGTGCGATTTGGCCAAGGTCCTGCAGCAAGATAGGGTGGAGGCTGGGCTAGAAATCCGAGCTGCTGGCTCCTGTTTCCCTCTCCTTCCACTTTCCTTGGTACCAGCCACATTCTGGGCGCTCTCCACCCATCTGCGTGGCCACGCCTGAATCTCTTCCCTCTTGGAAGAGGTGCAATCCACTGGCATTGAAGCTGGGTGGACTGGCTCCCTCTCTCTATCCCTCTCTTTCTTCCTTTCCCCTGCCATGTTCTGGAAAGGGCAGCGGGAGGGAATGTGGGCAGGTTGCACCAGAGATATACATCTGAGAGCTGAAGGGAACATTTATTTTTAATTTAGACTTAAAAAGAAAAAAGGAAGTTATAAAATATCTGCTCTTGCTCCTGGGATTGTGCAGATGGTGCTGCGTTTTGCCTAATAGGGAATGGGGCTGGCATCTACAAGTTTCTGGTCCCCGCCTGACTATGGGACCTCGAGGGCAGGATACCTGTTCCCCTGCCTCAGCCTCTCATGACTCTCCAGGGTCCCATTTGGTCAGTGCAGCTCTGTGTTCTCTGTCTTCTAACCTTACCCTCTCCAGTCTGCCTTCTGCTGGTTTCCTAAACCTCCTCCTCAGGCCAGTCTCTCAGCTGTCCTGCCCGTCCCTGCTCCGTTGTGTGTGCATGCGCACACACACCCCTTAGATCAATCCCCCCTCCTCCTTCATCAGATATCTGGGGCACACCCACCTTTCCCTTTCTGAACTCCTGTTTGGATGATAGAATTTATCAGCTTTACACACACCCAGGTAACCTCATTAAACTATCTTATTGTTTTCATGCCTAGGTGTTGTGAATGACGTTCTCATACATTTTCTTGTTTGGTTTTTGAGTTTACTGTGGTTAAGGAATAACCTCTGGTGTTCTCTTCTGGGAGTGGTGTGGAGCTTGGTACATAGGTCATGCTCCATACATAGGCAGAGATTGTTGAGCGAATCCCTCTTCCTTTGTGCTCAGGGGGATGAGTGGGGAAGGAGCACCCTAAAATCAGAGACTAAGGGCCCCCAAGCCAGGAATCAAGCAACTGAATCATTCTCTAGCTTGTGCTATGAAGTCATAGGCAAATCGCTGAATTTCTTTAATTCTCAGCTTCCCTATTTGCAAAATATGGAAAGTAATCTCTATTTTGTCTGGTCCCTAGAGTTATTGAGGATTATTGTAAGTGACATGTGGAGCAATGCTTGGCAAAATCAATCAATCTCTTTAAGAAAGCATGAGGACACTGGTGCTTAAAGTCAGAGGTGCTGGAATGGATACTGGGCCTGTGTTAGGGCAGAAGGTTGGGACAGGAGGTGGGCGTTGTTCAACAATGACAAGTTTACTGATCATAGAGCCATGCATGACATGTGTGTACATAGCCAGAGTACTAGCTTAGTTTAAGGCTCTGGCTTGTTCTGGAAAAGATTTAAAATCACTTTAAAACATGCATGGCACTGAAGATAAAACAAAGGACGAAAATGAGACAAAGGACGGTTAGAGAAGGAGAAATAAGATGAAGCCAGGAGTGAGGTTTGGGCATGAAATACCTGTACTGTGGGTCTGTACACTTGGCAGATGTGGCCAGGGAGAGCTGGCCTGAGCTTCTTGACTGTCAGTGCAAAGAAACATAGTCAAATGGCCAGAATCTGCAAGGAATATGCAAACCACTTGCCCAGAAGTACAACTTCTGACCCTGAGACCAGAAAATATTTCCCTCAAGAGGATTAAAGGGATCCTATAATGTAATTTGTAGCATGCTGGACCACAGTTGTGTGGCATGTACAGTGAGTCCTCTGGGGCAGTATCTTATGACGTGCCAGTGGCCCGAGCACAGTTTGGAGGTATGGTGGGGATTCAAGGGAAAAGATCGTGTAGTTCATAAGACCCCATGTTAAGTAAACTACAGATTGGGGGGATGATAAACTAAGCCCCGAACAGCGAACAGCTTTGATTTTCTCAGGCTGTGGGAGGCAGTCACATACACGCACAGCCCCTTCCCACCCAGCCCCATACCCACTTCCTCTATTGTCTGGCTCCTTAGTGGAGGCCCTGCCTAGGAGGAGGTCCTGTGTCCTCTGGGATGCTTCTTAGCATGTGGGCTCCATTGTAGACAATGGGGCTATCGCTTTTGAATTCATCCCTACTACCTAGAACCTAAGAATAGAATTTTAAATTGAGATAGGACCTCATAGGTCAACCCTTTCCCTTTATAGGTGAGAAAGTTAGAGCCCCAAAGGGGGTCATCTTCTATTAGAGACCACGCAGGGACAGGGCAGAGGCTGAGACCCAAGGTCTCCTGGGTCTCATTCCAGTTCCCTAAGCTGCCCCTGCAAAGAAAAATCAAATTGGGATCTCATTCTGGATGACAAATCTTATAAGATAATTCCTCACCGAAGCTATGAAATCACTGTAGATTGTATAATTTTATTCAAGCTGATATGGGCCAATAAATATAAATGTGTGTGCGTGTTCACTGTTTTAAAACATTTTAATGTTTAAAACATGATTTACTAATGCTGCTGGGGATGTCTAGAATTTGATTTACTGCATAGTATTGAATGTTTATACTTGTTCCTTACAGAAATTCTTGCCAAAGAGCCATTTTATCTACAAGAATAATAAATAAGTCAATATGTGGATGGTTGTGCACATTTTTCCCATATGCAGCGGTATTCGGTAGATGTTATTTTGCACACCCACACGCCAGAGGTAAATGAGAGCCATATATGGATCCCTGAGGTCCGAGGCTTGGCCAGTGTCAAAATCAGATGGCTAATCTTGACTTAAACAAAAAACCAGTGAGACTAAGTCTTAGGTAATATTTGGGTTTCGGGAAGAGTTGCATGTGTTTATATATTCATCCTTTCACTCACTCAGCAAATATTTATTAGACATCTATGCTTCATTCAGTAACTTAAACATGGTATAGGTTTCTGCTTCATGGAAATTCAAAGATAACAGATACATATTCCCCCAAGTTATATATATAAAGCACATAAAGGCCTTTTTATGTAATTCTCACAAAAATCCTATGGGTGGTAGGGGCCAGGAGTTGGATTGCCTGAGAGGAAGTGAAGGTATTCCTTTTGTTTGCTTGTTTGTTTTTATTGCCTCCCCTGCTATAGAAATAATGTGTGTTAGAAAGAATATAGAACTATTTTAAAAGAATGCACCTGTACCCATACCTCAGACAGCAAGGTTAGCAGGATGTGCTGTGCCGCAGGTGTTTTCATGCGTAGAGATATGTGTGTATATGTAGTTATAGAGAAGATGAATTTTTTTCTTTACATAACTGGGATTATACTGCAATATAATTCTGTAACTTGATCTTTCTCCGGCGCACGCCTCAGTCTGTTTGTGCACGTCATACCACAGCAGTTTGCGCATATCCAGCTTGCTCTTGTTTGTGGCAGTGTACTTTTTCTTTGCAAGGATGTAGGATGTTTCTTTTACTCTTTTCAGCCTTTTTTCTCTCTCACTCATAGGTAGTCGGTCTTCTCCTGCCCAACCAGACACTGGCATCCACAGTCTTCTGGCAGGTAACAGTCTCCCAGGGACACACAGGTGCTGGTTAAGAACTCCCTGCCCTGGCTCAGCACTATAGCTCAGTGGGTGGGGTGCCAGCCACATAACACCGGGGCTGGTGGCTTCAAACCCGGCCCGGGTCTGCTAAACAACAATGACAACTACAACAAAAAAATAGCCAGGTGTTGTGGCAGGCACCTGTAGTCCCAGCTACTTGGGAGGCTGAAGCAAGAGGATCGCTTAAGCCCCAGAGTTTGAGATTGCTGTGAGCTGTGATGCATAGCACTCTACCAAAGGCGACATAGTGAGACTCTGTCTCAAAAAAAGAAAAAATGAACTCCCTGCCCTGGTGCCTTGCCCTGCCCTGCCCTGGGCCCAGGGCCCAGGGTAGAGTCAGTCCCCTTACACCTCCCCCAGCCTCGAAGCCACTAGAGAAAAACCAAAACTTTGGCTGCACCAAGCAGCCAGGACATCTCAGGCCATTGTGTGTTACTTTAACCTTTTTACAGAGGTGATGGGAGCTGAGTGTCCTCACCTGGGTTATGACAGCTTGTTAGTGGCCACCCACACTGCCACTTGGCTACTTGTCCCATGGCTAGGAACCTCGAGGTCCACACCCTCATATGATGTCAGTCCCACCCAGATCTGCAGAGGAAAGGAGATCTACCCCTTGCCCCAAGGTAGTGAAGCACACCACAGACCCTCCCCTTTGCTCTTGGAGACAGTCCAGGTCACAGCTCCATGAAAATAGTTGAAGATGTCCCATGTGTGTCTATATAGGCAAAGAGGGGCAGGAGGAAAAACCTGCCAACTTCTAGGGGAAAATGCCAGGGAGTCTTCCCTGAACACAACTTCTGATAGCGCGTGTGTCTGGAACTAGAGGTGGTGCAGGATGTTGGGCTGGGAGATTCTTGAAAGAAGTGCAGGGCTGTGAGTCATTCCAGGGGCCTTGCTGGCCACCTTCTGTCCAGCAGTTGACATAATAAGGATGATGTGGCAAAGGCAGTGGGCCCAGTGGGGCAGTCAATGCCGTGTGACAGCCTCTGAGGCTGGGGTGTGCAGGACTACATCCTGGTTTGCCAGGAACTAAGAGGTTTCCCAAGACTTGGGACTTTCAGTGCCAACACCAACACAGTCCCAGACAAACCAAGACAGGTGGTCATGCTTACTAGTGGGACGTACAGACCCATCTGTGAGCTAGAGACAGTGTGCCATGTCTTTGTGTGTGTGTGTGCGTGGAGGGTGGTGACCAAGGCCTTGCTTCCAGGGAGGTGACCATTCCTTTTCCGACTTCTTTGTTGCCTTTCAGTGGCTGAACCAGAGCCACAACGCCTGTGTCAACTATGCAAACCGCAATGCTACCAAGGTGAGCGTCACTGCCCTGTTGGTGGCTGCCTCTTCTCAGTCAAGCATTACTCTCCTCTGGGTGCTGTATTGCTGTATTTAAACTGCCAGCCCCTCAGGCAGGTGAGGGGAGCAGACTGGACTCTGGCTGAGCTCAGCAGGGGCTGTTTACCTAAAATGAAGCAGATCCATTAGGTGGGGGGTGTGAGGGGCAGTGTAAGGGATGCCTTCCTCTGGCTTCAGAATTCTTGAGCCTCTCTCACAGCCTGATCTAGGGTCAAAACAGTGTCAGCCACTTGGGGGCCAGTTCCCCTAAAGTTTTCTCCAAACTTGCTGGAAGCTGCCTTAAGAGTCTTGGCTCCTAACTGCTGGCCACAAGGCTGAAGGGCTTCTAAGGGCTAAGGGTCCCAAAGGCCTGGTTCCTCCTTCCCTGAGTTCCCTGCATGTCTGGGACAGGTCATGGTGGAGGCCCAGTCACCCTTCTGTTGTGCAAGAGGGGTTGCTGGGCCCTTGCTTCTCTGGCAAGGCCACCTGTGCCTCTGTCTGATTCTCCCTTACTTCAGTCTAAAAGCAAAAGGAGGGGAAGCGACTTCATGATTCCCTTTGGGGGCCTGTCAGTTTAGAGTACTGGGTCGGGGGGCTGTGGCATTTTTTGTCCTTGGGGGAGAGAGAAGGGATTTAGGTGGTGGTCTGGGCAGTAGGAACTTGAGGGGCCTGATACTCCGAAGATCCCCCATCTAAACCTCCAACCATGTCTCTCATGAGCTTTGCATATGCACAGCTCTGCTTAGATGGCCGCTGTTTACCTTAACTGAGCATCTCTGAACCTGCAATGGTAGTAGACTAGTTTCTTAGCTTTTCCTTCATTTTCTGGGTTGGAGGTTGGGCTGGATTTTTCTATAGAACTGTCTATCATCTTTGACATAGAGACCTTGTTGCTGCATGGGTGGCAAGGCCTGCAGGAGCCAGCCAGACAGAGCCAGCCTCAGCATGGGCATTTCCCCCTGCAAAGAGCTGTGTGTGCCAAATAGCCTGCTTACAGCGCTTAGCCTTGCTAAGCCAGAGACTGCCAGCCTTGGCCATAAGTGGTCCCTTATGGGCCTTGCTGTCTTCTATCTCCAGCCATCACTGTCTGCTGATGACCTTTCTAGAACAGGGCAGACAGGTAGTGTATTTCTGCGTTTGGACCTGAGCTGAGAGAGGCCCAGATCCCTCTGGCTTCCTGAGGGGTGTCTTTCCTACCTGACCCTCCAGGCGGGTGGGTAGGGAGGCTTCTGGCTGGCTGGGGCAAGGGTAGAGTGTGGGAGTTTGGGCCATCCAGCAGGTCTGAAATTCTGCCTGTGTCTTCCAGCCTTCACCTGCATCCAAGTTTATTCAGGGCTACCTGGGAGCTGTCATCAGTGCTGTCTCCATTGCTGTGAGTACTTCCTCCCCACCTTCTTCCTCCTGGTTCTGCTGCAGGTGGCTGCCACATTTAGCAGTACAAGTGGACCCTGGTCTGAGGGTCAGGGCCAGCAATGGTGTGGTAGATGGGCTTCTGTGGGTGGGCTGTAAGGGCAGGCTTTCCAGGCAGAGAAGAGAGTTTGATAGACAAATTGGTACTTCATGCTTTGGAGGGCAGGTAGGTGGTGAGCTGGTGCCTATGGATGCCATGGGCAGCACCTCTGTCCTAAGAGGGGTCATGGTTACCCAGCACTCTTCTCATGCTCAGGAATGCAGCTGTGGGAGGAACACAGAAATCTTCCTGCAGGGTTGGCCTACATGGTAGCTCCCCTTTGTGGAGCCCCTGGGGCACTGTTATTCCCTCTCTGTGACCTTGGTCATTCAGTCACATGTCCAGTCCTTCTAGAAGACCTGTAAGCTCCTCAAGACAGTTCCATTAGGCTCCTTTTCAGTCTCCACAGGACTTTGGGATAAGAGCAGCTACTCAGCAGGGGGATTTGTAGACTGGCTATATGAGTGTAGGATGGATGGTGGGCAAATGAGGGCAGGTGACATAGTGAGGGGCCTGGGCAGAGCTAGATTGGATGCTCAAGCTGCCAGGACCTTGTCCTCCTCTTGAGCCCACCTCCTACCTAAGACTGGCACTCTTTAGATGCTCACTGGGAAGGCCTACAGCTGACTCCAAAGGGCAAAGGGTCCCTTCACAAATTTGTCATTTCATTACATAATAAATACATGCAATTGGTAAGAAAAAAATAATTCAAAAATGCAAATTAAAAAACATTCACCTAGCTGAGCATGGTAGCCTGCATCTATAGTCTGAATTACTGAGGAGGCAGGAGGATTGCTTGAACCTAGGAGTTTAAGACTTCAGTGAGCTGTGATTGTGCCTGTGAAGAGATACTGTACTCCAGCCTGGGCAACATAGCAAGACCCTGTTTATTAAAAAAAAAGAATTCAGGGCGGCACCTGTGGCTCAAAGGAGTAAGGTGCCGGCCCCATATGCCAGAGGTGGTGGGTTCAAACCCAGCCCTGGCCAAAAAAAAAAAAAAAGAATTCAAAAAATAAAAATAAAATAAAAAAGAATTCACATATAATAATCTTTTGGTAAAACCTACTCTCCTCATCTTTCCAGTGTCATTAAATGAATACTGTGTGATAATTGTTCACAACTATGTGACATAGTGTGATAGTGATGATGTGCCATACATCATAATTTATTTTCCTATTCTTCTAAAGTAGGGATTTGGGGTTGTCCTGAAATGGCCTCATTTATTTTACTCCCACATAGACAAAATTATCTCCAAATAACTGTTAGGTGGGACATCCATCTCATGCCCGAGATCTCTTTCCTTCCCTAAATCCTTACGGCTTAACATGAGTAAGAAGCCAGACATTGCAAATCTACTTTAATGGCTTGCCAAGCGCCTGCTCACCCACCCTGGTGGTCCTGCAGCCAGCATGAGACTTCATTTGGAGTCGTTCAGATTGGGGGTCCCTGATTCTGGGGACTTGCTGGGGCTAATGCCAAGGGCTCTCCTGGGCAGGGAAAGGGCTTACTCACTTCCTCCTTGATGTAGAAGCTGATGACCTGCTTGGCTTAGAAGCTTTGAAAATCCACTTCCTGCTCTCAGACTTAAGGGGAAGGGAGAGAGGAACTAGCCATGTAGGAAAGGCTATTGAGTGGCCCCAGATGGAAAGGGCTTGGGAGAAGGGGATCATTGTCCTAGTGGGACTTCCTTCCCCTGCATGCCTGGGGCTCCTGGAACAGGAGGTAAGCTTCTGCCAAGAGCTGAGGGTTCTGTGTCCCTAGTCCTCACTGCCCCACCTGAGGGCCCATCAGCCATCCCACCCCAACCACTTCCCAGGGCAGGCCTAGCTCAGACTTATGGGGAAGGGGTTCTGAAGACAGGCCCACTGGAGTTACTGGGGGACTTGGGGCCCTCTCAGGCTCCGAGAGCTGGGGTCTTACCCAGCAGGGTTGGGGCTTTACACTGGAATGTGCCTGTGCTGAGAACTCCCTCCTCACTTCTCTCTCTGCCCTGCCTAGCTCCAGGGAGGTAGGGGGGTGCCCCTACCCAGGACCCCTTTACTGATCACTCCAGCCCATGCTGCTCCCCCCACCCTAGGTCCTGGAAACTTCTGTTCTTCCCACTCACACTCGCACCATGTCCCGTCCTCTCATGTTTGCAGTCTAAGCCCCAGCCCAGTCGGATTAGAAGTTAGACAGGGTCCGGCACTGTGTCCTCTCCCCCACTGAGGGGAGCACAGAGCTCTGCTCCATAAATCCTTATTAATTAGGCTGCTGATTGATTGCTGGCCTTAGGAGGCCCCTCTCCTCGCCCATCCACAAGTCTTAGTGGTGGCGGCGTCCCTCCGCCTGACGTCTTCACACAGTGAGGGTCTAACTCCGGCAGATGGAGCAGAGTTTCTGACTTGGAAAATCTGCAGCTTGCTTGCTTTTCTTTTGTGTGTGTAAATCACAAAACCTCCGGAGAAAGGGGCTTTATTTTATTTTCCTTTCCCTTGTTCTCTAGAACCCCAGGTCCCGCAGCCTCATTAACTGATCTCTACTTCAATTAGTGACAAATCCCCTCCCAGGGTGAGCCTGTTAGGAGGAGATGACCTGCAAACAAGTGTCACGGCCCCAGTGGTTGGCCCAGCTCTGGCATTAATTAAAACGAGTCCCTACAAGCAGGCAGTGTGGATGGGGACTGACAGGCCGAGAGCAGGTCCCAGGGACTGAGGGACAGCTGAGTGAGGCCAGCCTCCTCTGTGGACCCTAGAGAGCCCTCTCCCCCTCTCAGGAGAGCCCTGACCTTGGCCAGCAACCTCCAGAATCAGAGGCCCCAGTTTGCATGCCCCAAATGAAGTCTCATGTTGGTTGCGGGACCACCAGGGTGGAGATTAGCAGCCTCTTGGTGAACCTTCTAAATAGATTTGGCAATGTCTGGCTTTTTGCTTGAGAATAAAAAAGAAATTCCGTCTTAAGTTATTTTTGAAATTTAACAGTTTGCTGTCTTTTAACAAAGGAAGCCTTGCTCAATCCTCACTGTTTTTTTGTCCGGGAGTTTGTGTAGAGCACTTCTGTGGGTAGCCTGCATAGGCCCTGGCTACCCGAGGGCAACGGACAAGGCAAGACCCATTGTTTCCATCAGGGGACTGTGAAGTACTGGGCACTTTGCAGAAACTGGGGGGCTCAGGGGCCAGTGTGTCCTCCACTGACTTCTTGAAAGCTGAGAACACTCTATGGTACAAACAGAATTATTATGAAGGTGACCCTAGGATATTGTGGGACCAGAGACAATTCACACAGGACTGACTCATAGGACAGACCGGAGAGATCCAAGGGAAGGCAGGGTGGAGAGTTCCAGGGCAAGGGCCCCACATACACAGGGAGCATGACAAATTTGGGGCACTCAGAAAATGAATGTGGTGCCAGGTGGGAGTGATGGAGATGAGGTGTGGATGAGTGAGAGGCAGCAGGACTGGCTATGAAACACCAACGCCTTGCTCGGGACGCAGGAGGCTGCACCCGAATCCAACCTGCCAACCTGCGCTCAGGGACCTGGGTATTGCAGGGGATGCGGGTGGAGGAGGAGTGGTGGGAATTAGCAGGCCCAGCACATGGACCATCCTCATGGATGCAGGGTCCTGGATGAGGGTGAACCTGGGGCTGAAGAGGAAGACTCAGAGCTGAAGTCCTATGTGACTGGTCAGGAGCTAGTTGATGGAGCCAGATGGTGTGTGCCCATGCCTCAAACTCTTCACCTTCAGCTCAGTCTTAACTGGCTGAGGTCTTTCTGTTAGGCAATGCTGACCTCCATTTCCAAAGGCTCTGGGCCCTAAGGGGTCCTTTTTGTATCAGATACAGCGATTGCCTGTTAACCTTTCACAACCAGACACTGGAGCACAGGAGGGGTGTGGGGGGATCCCTGCGCTGAACACCTACCTTCTGGTTCCTCTTGCCTACTGGCAACTACAGGTTGCCTTGATAGTCACACTGGTAAATAACCATAATAATAACACTTAGAGTGCCTGCAGTGCTCCAGGCACTGCTTGGGGGTTCCTCCTCATCTGATAGATGAGGAGAGTGGGGCACAGAGGTGAAGTAAGTGACAGAGCTTACCCAGCTTAATCATGCACTGTTTTGCTCCTCCTCTGGCAGGAGGCATAAGTAGTGTTCCCTGTCTTCCAGGTTATAGGAATTACTACACACCTCCTGGTATCAAGGCTCTCCTGAGGTACCAGTAGAGCAGTGGGAACTGTAAGAAAAAAAACGTTTTTTTGAGACAGAATCTCACTTGGTCACTCTTGGTAGAGTGCCATGGCGTCTTTAGCTCAGAGCAACCTCAAACTCTTGGGCTCAAGCAATCCTCTTGCCTCAGACTCCCACGTAGCTAG